TTGGACTCCAAATTTAATAATACCTCTTTAGTATAGGTACAAGATGTGTGCTTGTAATCTTGGACTCAAAATTAATAATGTCCTGTTACTTTTGAAAATTGGTAGATGAAAATCAATAGTAATAAGTTACATTAGTCTTTTTCCTGTTTTGAATTAAAAAAATTGTTACTAGAAAAATTGTACATTGAGAGGAACTTAAGTTGAATTAACACAAACAAGACAAATGCATGTAAAATAAGCAGCCTCCATTGTTGAAGATTCGATGGAGGGTCAAGTGGGAGTTTGAATAAGAAAAAATGGTAGGACTTGCAGAAAGGACTAATCACATGTTCTGGAATTCATTAAAATGAAATATTGGAGAAAAAAAATATTTTAAAGAATATGTGATATAAAAATAAGAAAAAATTTCAAATTTACATGTGACATTATTTTATGAGATAATATGTAACGGAAAATGAGCTTTTGAAAAATGTGTTTTTCAGAAGAAAAAAAAATAGAGTCCAAACAAGGGCTAAGCTCCAGCTTGAGTAAAATTTAAGTCATTTTTTCGCAAACTTATTTTGAATCACACATTTACTTAATAAATTATTCATACGTAAATCTAAAAATTTTATCTACTTTTTTATCACTTAATTTTCAAAAATTAACTATTATAGAATATATTCTTCCCAAAAATGGAGGTCAAACATACCTTAAGCCTCCGAAAAAGACTAGCAGGAATAGTAAAATGAATAATAGGGAGTCCCAAAAAATGTTTTAATAATACATAAGTATTAATTACGAAAATAAGTATTAATTACGAATGTGTAGTTGAAAATAATGTTTAACTTTGAAGATAAATTCTATCGTGGAATGGATAGATTAAAGGAGAGATGTGCATTATAAATTTTATTATCTGTCTTATTCTATATATAACTTCATTTAAAAATTCTAGTAGATTTCAAGCTCGACTAAAAGAGAAATGTTGCCGAGTAGTTTAGGAAATGTTTTTAAGAAAATATAATTAAAAAGTAGGAAGAAATTATGAATTCACATGCAAAATATTTTATTAAGAAAATATGCAATTTAAAATGAGTTTGACAAAAAAATATATATGGCCTGATTGGGAGCGATTTTTTCAGCCAAAAAATTGATTTTTTTTATTGTTATTTCATTATTCCTACCGTCATATTTGACTTCTTCTCTCACAGATAGACCCTACTTTTCTCCTAACGATCAAAAAATCTATTCTCAAAATCACTCCCAACCAGACTCAATATAACTTTCAAAGAATGAGTTTGATTTTATACTTCATAACATTATTCAATAGTCAAAACCAGACTCAATATAACTTTCAAAGAATGAGTTTGATTTTATACTTCATAACATTATTCAATAGTCAAACATGACATAGGACATGTCGAGAAATTTTTTCTCCAACTCAAATTTGCCTTGCTACATATTATTTCTTCACCAGTCTTCAGTTTTTTCCGATTTTTAGTTGAAATGCAGCCAATACCTTCCTGCAACGTGGTGGCGATGCCTTATCCCGGCCGTGGCCATATCAACCCGATGATGAACCTCTGCAAACTGGTGGCCGGAAATAGCAGTAGTATTTTAATAACCGTCGTACTGACCGAGGAATGGCTCGGCTTAATTGGCTCCGAAACCAAGCCGGATAACATTCGCTTTGCCACTATTCCAAACGTCATACCGTCGGAGCATGGCCGAGGAGTCGATCCACGTGGCTTTGCCATGGCTGTGTGGAGTAAAATGGAAGAGCCTTTCGAACGGCTCTTGTCCGAGCTTCAGCTTTCTCCGACTCTTGTTATCGCCGACGTTTTCGTTCCTTGGGCGGCTGATGTAGCTTGTAGAAGGAATATTCCGGTGGCTTCATTCTGGCCGATGTCCGCGTTGATATTTTCGGTTTTTTACCATTTTGACCTTCTCGTTCAGCACGGCCACCACCCGGCCAATTCAGGCAAGGGACAATATTTGCTTTTCATTTTTTTCCCACTATACTCTACCGTCCATATATTATTATTATTTTTTCTTTTTTAACAAATTAAAACGTAAATATTTTTACCATAACTTATTTTATTGATATATAAGAAATTTTGTTCAATTAGGAACAAAAACTTGACATATGTGTTACTATGTTATTATGTTTTCAGTGAATGGAGACGAAATTGTCGACTACATTCCAGGGCTCTCTCCTATTCGTGTATTGGATCTTCCCACAATTGTGAGAAGTCGAGAAGACTCCGAACGATTCTTGAAAGCCACTTCGCAGGCATTTCATAAATCCCGATATCTTCTATTGAATTCTGTTTACGAGCTTGAAGCTGAAGTCATTGATACTCTAAAGGCTAATGCTCCGTATCCAATCTATACGATTGGCCCTGCAACAACATATCTCAAAGTTAAAGACATATACTCCACCACGAGCAACGCCATTAATGCTGACATTAACTACTTGAAGTGGTTGAACATTCAACCTCCAAACTCGGTCTTGTTTATTTCTTTAGGTAGCTTCCTTTCTGTTTCGAACTCCCAAATGGATGAAATTGTAGCCGGATTGTGCATAAGTGGAGCCAGTTTCTTGTTGGTGGTGCACGGTGAAACACCTAAGTTAGAAGAGAGTTGTGGAGGAAAAGGTTTGGTGGTGCCTTGGTGTGATCAATTGAGTGTACTCTGTCATCCATCTGTTGGGGGTTTCTTGTCACACTGCGGGTGGAATTCTACAAATGAAGCTATTCTAGCAGGCGTTCCTTTGCTTACGTTCCCTATTTTGATGGATCAAGTTCCAAATGCTAAGATGATTGTCGAAGATTGGAAAATTGGATGGAGGGTGAAGAGAGAATTCGAGGAAGAAAACTTGGCAAAACGAGATGAAATTGCACTTCTTGTGCAGAGGTTTATGAACTTAGAGAGTCGAGAGAGGAAACAACTTACAGAAAAGGCTAAAAATATTCAACAAGTTTGTGATAGAGAATTTGCAGATGGTGGATCATTCCGAGAGAACCTTGACGCCTTTACTAACTCAATTCTACAATACCATAATGAAAATCATTGCTAACTTTCACTGGTGAAGAATGAAGTTTTCAGACTTGATACTCAAATTACACGTGCATTGTATTTTGCAGATTTCTATACAATAATTTGAAATGTGTAGCTGAATACCCATTGAAGCTTTGTTATTAATCTATGTTTAATAATTCAAGAATTTGTTGATGTTTCAATCGGATATGTTCATTAGCAAAGAGTTAATTAGAGAGAGTGTGTGTATTTTAAGAATTTGCATGCTCTTTGAACTTACGAGTCAAGAACAGTTTCAAGTAAGCATTTCTTTTGTGAGTATACGCCTCGTAAGGAGAACTTCAGTGAAAAGACTAATTGCTCCAATAGGAGTGCTATATTGTGGAATGAACTGAATTGAGTGGTAAGAAAAAATTCACCAACTCAACTTTTAAATTTGTAGAGAATTTATCATTTTTTTAAAAGCTGGCATATTTTATTAGAAATTTAGGAACCAAAGTAAAACACAATTCAGAAAGGGGTCGGCTTAACCTCCGACAAATACCTAAGAAAAAATCTGGGTGTACAGATTGTGTACAGAATAGAGACAAGTGTGTGGATCCCGTTTTGTATAAAAAATGTCAAAAATGTGTGTAGGCCCTAGAATTGTGAGTATTCCGTATGTATTCTGACAAAAATAATTTTGTACGTGTAGAAGGGTTGAATGTATTCAAAAGCGTCACCACCATATTGCCTAGTACTTGGAGAGGAAGGGATGTTACCCAACCCCATATTGCTTAAATCATTATCAATTAAATTTCTCTCTGAGATCAATTCCAAGGTCAACTTGCTCAAACAAAGCACAAACCCGCCTTCCTCATTCCTCTCTGTCTCACTAGGATTTGAAACGTCTTTAGTTTCTCTATCATCCACGTGGTTGATCAAGCCGGCTTCTGATTAATCTGCTTATTGATCCATCGACTTTTAAGATGATCCATCGACTTTTAATTTTAACTCTTCCACAACCTACCAAATGAGCAAGCTAATCTTGATAAGTGACTTTTTGAATTGATTATGTAATTCCCAATTAGCCTAAGGGCACGCTTGGGAGTTTTCACTCAAANCTAAGGAATATACATGTAATTTTATTATTTTAAAAAACTTTCAAAATCGGTGGTTAATAAACTTTCAAATATAGATTGGACAGTTTTAAAAATCAATGCTAAAATCAATCAAAATCGATCCATTCAAAAAATCTCAAAATCAATACTTTAAAAATGCATATAATCGAGACGAAGCTCAGGCCCTAAAGTACCAAACTTCCAACATTTTTTCCAGTTGCTCACTTCTACTTATCTAGAAACTTGATACACAGACAGGAGCCCGGACACACACATATTTATAGGAGACAACCTTTTCCTATACTCTGAGCTTTTTTCTTCTCCCGTTTCGTTCTGCATTAATCTATTCCTTTCTTTGCTTTGGTTAGAAATTGGTACTGTAGACATGAAACCAATACTTTCCTGCCACGTGGTGGCCATGCCATATCCCGGCCGCGGCCACATCAATCCGATGATGGACCTTTGCAAACTGGTGGCCGGAAAGAGCAGTAGTATCCTAGTAACCTTTGTACTGACAGAGGAGTGGCTCGGCTTAATTGGCTCCTCAGCCAAGCCAGATAATATCCGATTCGCCACCATTCCAAATGTCATACCGTCGGAGCATGTTCGAGGATCCGACCCGAATGGATTCGCCATGGCTGTGTTGAGTAAAATGGAAGAGCCGTTCGAGCGGCTCTTGAACGAGCTTCAGCTTTCTCCGACGCTGATTATCGCTGACGCTGTTGTTCCTTGGGCGGCTGATGTAGCTTCAAGAAGGAACATTCCGTTAGCTGTGCTCTGGCCGATGTCGGCGTCGGTGTTTTCGGTTTTTTACCATTTTGACCTTCTGGTCCAGCACGGCCACTTCCCGGTCAATTTATCTGGTAATGAACTACAGATATGTCTACACGTGCTTTGGCGGTTTTATTTGGCTTGTTTGATTGATTCTTCTTTCCATATTTTAATTCTTTTACTTTTCTCTACATAAAATATATGCGTTTAACTAAAATAATTAATTAAAATTAAAGTCAATTAATTTTAACAATACATTTTATGGAGTCCACAATTTCTATTAGTCATTTAACCACATATTTCAACAATTTTTTTTTATATCAATATCTACTAAATATGTTATTTTTTACGGCTATATATTTTTCTTTATCATACTTGTATTTTGTCAATAATGTTTAGAACAAAAGTTTAATCTCTACGTCGCCTGGAATTATTTATAAAGAGATATAATAGTTGGTCTCACACATTTGAATGAGTGGTCGAAATTAATATTTAACTTTTACTGAATTTATAGATTTTTATTCGAACTGCACCTAAATACTTTAGATTTTTTGTTAGAACAATCTAGAAAGGTGTTCTACTCGTGAGCTCTTGCGAACTTTGGTTGTGCAGCTTAGTAGAGAGCTTCTAATTGTTGTTGATCAATCATTTAATCTTCCAAAACATCACTAGTCAAAATCATTGTCTTTGCTACAATCTCTTGATCATTTGTAAATTAGTTACATTTGCAAGAAATGGATGACGTTTGATCCATTTCTCTAGCATGTTGAATTAACTCAAACTATTAGAAAAATTCATAATTAAACATATTACATTGATGCTTATTTGGGGGAAAGCAAAGCAAAAGGATATGACTAGAAATCAATCTTTAAAGATTTTGCTTCATTCATGCATCAATATCCTTCAGAATAATCTTTGTGATTTTCTGTTGTTATGTTTTCAGTAAATGGAAACGATATTGTTGATTGCATTCCTGGGCTCTCTCCTATTCGTGGATTGGATCTTCCCACGGTCATGAGGTTGGAAGAAAACTATCAACGCTTTCTAAAGGCACCATTGCAGGCAATTCATAAAGCACGATATCTTCTCTTAGCTTCTGTTTATGAGCTTGAAGCCGAAGTCATTGATGCTCTAAAGGCAAGAGCTTCATGTTCAATCTATACAATTGGCCCTACAACAACACATTTCAAAGTTAAAGACAGTATGGTGATCGAAACTACTTGAAGTGGCTGAACCTTCAGCCTCCAAACTCGGTTTTGTTTCTTTCATCAGGCAGCTATCTCTCTATTTCGGGCTCCCAAATGGATGAAATTGCAGCAGGATTGTGCAAAAGTGGAACACGGTTCTTGTGGGCGGCACGAGGTGAAACATTGAGATTGAAAGAGATTTGCGGAGAAAAAGGGTTGGTGGTGCCTTGGTGTGATCAGTTAAGTGTGCTTTGTCATCCTTCTATTGGGGGATTTTTGTCGCACTGTGGTTGGAATTCTACAAAAGAAGCTATTTTAGCAGGAGTTCCTCTGCTTACTTTCCCCATAATGATGGATCAGGTTACGAATGCTAAGATGATTGTTGAAGATTGGCAAATTGGATGGAGGGTGAAGAGAGAATTCGATAAGGACAACTTGGCAAAACGAGATGAAATTGCAGAACTTGTGCAGAAATTTATGAACTTGGAGAGCAGAGAGAGGAAACAACTTACAAAAAAGGCTATAAAAATCCAACAGGCTTGTGAAAGAGAATTTGCAGAAGGTGGGGCATTCCAAATTTACCTAGATGGTTTTACTCGATCAATTTTGCAATACCATCATCATTGATCAATTCAACATGGTATTCAAAATGACCTAGATGTTTTACATGTTTTAATAAGGCATTTCCCCAAATTTCTGTACGCTATTTGACATTTTTAAGGTTTTATTTGATATTTAACGAATTTTCTCTATAAATTTTGTGTGTTCATCCGTGTCTACTTTTTTATGGCGATTTTATTACTCTTGGTGATATAAAATTAATATTTCTTAAATTTGGTTTAAACACAATACAAATAAACGAAATTTGATGATCTTCTGTTTTGTGTTTTCTTTTACATTCGATTAATCTAGAATGACTTTGAATTGGTTTTAAGAATGTATACAATAATATAAAAAGTTTAGTATATTTGGCAAAAGCACGTACAAACTAAAATTTTGAGTAGGCTTTAATTTACGGGTGGAACTGGGATGCACTGTTTTTAGGGAGAATGGAAAGTGACAAATTGAGTATTTGGTAGTCGATGGCATGTAGAATTAGGGGTGACAATTGAGTCGAGTGGCTCTTCTGGCTCGATCGATGGACAGCTCGGACTCAATTCTGAGCGCAGGCGAAGCCCAAAAAAAAAATTGAGCGATCCAAGCTGACTTGTCAGAAAAATGTGATCAAAAGGTCACATTTACATTTCAAAAGAAAATGTGGGCGTAGTGGGAGCTACAAAAGGCGTAGGAAGCAAACTTGTCTAATGAGGAGACTTTTGTAAACTATATAACTTTGAATCAATCTTATTCCTTTCCAATTCTTTTTCGATACCTCCCAAAAAAAAATATTAAATTAGATCCCAAATCGATCCTTAAACTTTTGTGCTTGGTGGAGAAGAAGCGAACAAAGGTATGCTCATTTGCTGTCTAGTTCTTTGTCACAACTTCAGTCGGATTGTTGTCCACAGTTGAAGGTCAGTGTCAGATTCAATGCTCCTAAGAAGAATAATCCATCAATTCATGTTCTTCTTTTTCTTCCTTTGATGCCGTTTCGAGACATGGGATAAACTATAGGAATGAATGGTCTTTTTCCACTTGAAAATCTCTTTCCATGTCATTTTCTGACATTGATTTTTGTTTTTGGCATTCTTATTTTGTAAAATTACTTTTCACAATAAGCCTATGTTTAGCCTCCATTTTTTCAAATTAAAATGGGTGAAATAATATTTTTTTGGAGAATGAGTGGTTGTGAAAGAAGAAAAAGTTTTCAATTCAAGTGTAATATTATTTTTATGGAAGATTGTGTGATTAAAAATAGAAGAGCAAAAAATGAAACTTAATTTAATGGGAGCCAAAAGGGGGATAAATGTAAGAAACTATACTGTGCAAGTGAAAGTATTCTTCTTCCTTTGTTTGCCTGTTAAAGAATGGCAAGAGGGAGACAACCCATGTTCAAGTGAAAATTTTGACTTTTTGAGTTTGATCTATATCATTGATAGTTGGAAAGATTCTTTAACAACGAATTTCATCAACAAGAAGCTCTTTCTAGGCATTAGCTATTGGGCCAAAATCGAGCTCATCCCATGAGCACATGCACTCGTGCTTGGACGAGCCGAGCTTGTGAGCTCATGGATCGAG